CCGGGTACTGTCCTGGGGGACATGTATGGGGGTCCGGGTACTGTCCTGGGGGACATGTATGGGGGTCCGGGTACTGCCCCGGGGGACATGTATGGGGGTCCGGGTACTGCCCCGGGGGACATGTATGGGGATCCGGGTACTGCCCCGGGGGACATGTATGGGCATCACCTCTTGGGCTGCGCCTCGGACAGGTTGCAGCTCCTGCTGCCTCCGGATAACCAGTTGCTGTCCTGGGTGAGGGTGGTGACCTCGGCCCGGTACCTCTTGGCAGTGGGGGAGGGGTAGCGGTGTTGAAGAGCTCTTTGAGCGTGTTGTGGGACTTGAGGCAGGAGATCCCAGATGGTGCAGATCAAGGGGTACTTGTCCCGAGCCCCCAGGGTTCTCCCCAACACAGGAACCGGACCAGCCCCTCCAGGTCCCCGCCTCAGACACACACAGGTGAGACCACGCAGTGCGCGGGGGGCCCACCCATCACCTAGGCTCGCGTGCCACAGGTTCACCACCGCTGGTCTAGGGGCTTCAACAGGAAATTCTAATACTCATTGTAACGGGCCCCCCTTGCTCGCTCGGTCCCGCTCTCCCGGCACTCCTCAGATGTCAGAGCGCAGCGTCCGATGCTCCGGGATTGGAACTCCAGCTCTGTGCCGTGCGTATCCAGTGGCGATCGCTCAGAACCAACACCGGGCCGGCTGTGTGTAAGCTCAACCAGGAATCTCCTTTATTGGATGCACACACACACTTATATACACAGCAGTCTGAAGGCGGCCCAACCGACCACCTTCCTATTGGTCAACTGCAAAGTATCCTCCAGTCCTCACCTGGGTCCTCTCCGCCATGCAAATGAGGACTCGAAACAGGGCAAGCAGGGATTGGTCCATAGTCTCCAGGCTCCTCCAGCAGCCCCGGTGACGGTTCAGTCCGTCACACTCATCAACACCGTCACGGAGCGCCGCAGGAACGGCATCCAGCTACGAGCCGGGTGGAAGTTTTATCAATGAACCACAAGTTTGAAGGCTAATTGATTAGCCTGTATTTGTGGGAGGAGTCCGTTCCCTCCTCTCACACATAAAAGGGGCAGGTAGACTCACCTGGGCACGGCCTTCGTCAGCATGAGCCGCCCCACCCGGTCCCTTCATTTAAAGATTTCACAGAGTATGCCCCCCTCATTGGCATACTGTCCATCCGGATCAAGGCACACCTCAGGTCAGTATTGGGTTACTCGCCCTTATGGCAAATGGATTCCGAACACAAATAACATTGACACCACAAAATACACTCAGCCCATGGAAGGAACTGACTCCATTTTTATTTCCCTACTTCTATCAAACGCTGGACGTGGCACAACACTTCCCCGGGGTGTATAATGAACTTTCTCACAGTAAAAAGGGGAGTATATCAAGGTGTGATTCTTCCCAGTGTCAGATCTATGATGGATGACATTTCCCGCACCTTGGCCCTTGAGTAGGTTCTTTGAGGTGCAGAAAGGTGGGTCTTCGGGGGGGATAACATTTCCCACACTCAGAGCAGGAATACAGCTTCTCCCCATGTGAGAGATCTCTGCGGTATGACCAGTGAAAATCTATTTTAAAAAAAACAACATTTCCCACACTCACAACAAGAATTTGGCTCGTCTCCTTTGTGAGACTTCCGATGTGTGATCAGTTGAGATTTATAAACAAAAACTATTTACCGCACTCAGGCCAGGAAAACCGTTTCTCCCCCGTGAGACTTCTGATGTATAACTAGTGCAGATTTGAGAAAAAAACATTTCCCACACTCAGTACAGGAATATGGTTTCTGACCTGTGTGAGATCGCTGATGTCTCGAAAGATTGCTCTTATCTGAAAAATATTTCCCGCACTCTGGGCAGGAATACGGCTTCTCCCCCGTGTGACATCTCTGATGTCTGACAAATGCTGATGAATAATTGAAACATTTTCCACAGATAGGACAGGGATATGAATTTTCCCCGGTGTGAGCCTTCTGATGTACGTTGAGGGAATTTTTATAGAGAAAACATTTCCCACACTCACTACAGGAATACGGCTTCTCGCCTGTGTGCAGTCTATGATGTCTGTTAAGACTGGACTTATCTGGAAAACTTTTCCCACACTCGGCACAGGAGTACGGCTTCTCTCCGTTGTGAGACCTCAGATGTATGACCAGTGCAGATTTCGTGCAAAAACATTTCCCGCACTCAGGACAGCAATGTGGCTTCTCCCCTGTGTGAAATTTCTGATGTATAGAAAGATTGGTTTTGTGCGAAAAACTTTTCCCACACTCAGGACAGGTATAGGGCTTCTCCCCCGTGTGGCACCTCAGATGCACAACAAGTTCTGCCCTTCGTGTAAAACTTTTCCCGCACTCAGGACAGGAATGTGGCTTCACTCCCGTGTGCAGTTTCTGATGTTTGGAAAGAGTGGACGTTTGTGAAAAACATTTCCCGCATTCGGAACAGGAATACGGCTTCTCCCCCGTGTGACATCTCTGATGTCTGGAAAGATAGGACTTCCGTAAAAAACTCTTCCCGCACTCCGTGCAGAAATAAGACTCCTGACCCACGTGAGCTTGTTCATGGACATAAGTCATTGGAAGGATGGCCCCGCCCCTCCCAGTCTGAAGTTCCTCAGGATAAGAGGAATACGATGGTCCATCCGCACTGTGGGGCCCCTGATGGACATTATGGTCTTCCCCCGGACTACGCTGTGTGATGTCCTCATCTTCTGGAGACAACGTGAGACGTTCCTCTGAGATCTTCCCGACGTCCCGTCCGTGGACTACAAATAGAAAGAAAGAGATTATTGGTTGGTTCACCTCACCCAGGACTCCGCCCACATCAGTCAGCTTTGGTGAGGAGGATCATATCTGGTAGATGGTTCCTCCCGACCTCCGACCAGAAGACTTCTAGATTCACCCACCTTAGTCTGTCATCTCCCCCACATGGGATGTCCTACCCTTCCTCAAGCGGGACTCCGCCCACAGTCAGATTCGTCTCGGAGGATCTCACGTTCCTCCCCCTCAGATGACCATGAAATGGATCCTCTGAATGTTCTATCACTCATGGACCATAGAGGGTGAGGGAACCAACGAGGAGGAGGTATGTAGTATTTATGACCCACCTGTGCCGATCTCTCTAGGAGTGTCCTCCTCCATGAATGTCCTCATCATTCCGTCCTCCCCTATGAACGTCCTCCTCATCATCCCGGCCTCCTCCTCCGTATATCGCTGATCATCCCTCATATACGTCTCTTCTACTTCACCCTCAACTTTCATCTTCATCAGATCTTCACCCTAAACCAACAGAACGGCAGAAAGTCTCATCTGTGACATAGAAGTATTTATGATGTGACATCACATAGAAGATCTCATCTTGTAGAGTCCACACGTCATCTCCACATGTCAGAGCGTTCCCTCACTTTATGTTCCCGCCCCTCAACTCCACCCACCTGATCATGGTGGGGGATGGTGAGATGTTCCTGGGTGGGGTCCAGGGAATACAGGGGACGGGGACATCTCTCTGGTGGGTTCCTCTTACTACGTGGTTCCATCATAATGTCCATGTGTCCTTCAGAAAGCTCCTCCATCACCCCGTACTCCTCGTCCTCTTCTTTAACAACAATGTGATAATCCTCGAGGTCTCCACTCTGCATATATAAGAAGACTTTTATTGTAACAAACATGGCCGTGTATAAACCAGAGACACCAATAATGGTTAGTCACCGACCTGATCATGGTGGGGGATGGTGAGATCTTCCTGGGTGGAGTTCCGGGAATACAGGGGGCGGGGACATCTCTCATGGTGGGGGAGGGTGAGATCTTCCTGGGTGGAGTCCCGGGAATACAGGGGGCGGGGACATCTCTCAGGTGGGTTCCTCTTACTGGATCCATCTGTAGGAAACACACACACTGACTGAATACATTGTTTCTATGTGTGTATCAGATGATGGGGGATGTAGGCGGAGCCTCCGTACTGCTCTCTCCTCTTACCCGGTGATGTGAGGGGCGGGGCATTCTCCATCACCACGTCCTTGTAGAGATCCCGGTGTCCTTCTAGATACTCCCACTCCTCCATGGAGAGATAGACAGAGACATCCTGACACCTTATAGGAACCTGACACACACAATGATACCGTCACCACCCAGACACGCCCCTTGTCTGTTCCTGGATCATGTCCCAGAATCCCCGGCACCGCTCACCTCTCCCGTCACCACCCAGACACGCCCCTTGTCTGTTCCCGGATCATGTCCCAGAATTCCCGGCACCGCCCACCTCTCCCGTCACCACCCAGACACACCCCTTGTCTGTTCCCGAATCATGTCCCAGAATTCCCGGCACCGCTCACCTCTCCTGTCACCACCCAGACACGCCCCTTGTCTGTTCCTGGATCATGTCCCAGAATCCCCGGCACCGCTCACCTCTCCCGTCACCACCCAGACACGCCCCTTGTCGGTTCCTGGATCATGTCCCAGAATCCCCGGCACCGCCCACCTCTCCCGTCACCACCCAGACACACCCCTTGTCTGTTCCTGGATCAAGTCCCAGAATCCCCGGCACCGCTCACCTCTCCCGTCAGCAGCTCCATCATCTTCTTGGTGACTTCTAGGACCTTCTTCTCCATCCTTCTCTCGGGAGTCGGGAGTTGAGTTGGAAGCGCCGCGCTGGATGGACCATGGAGACGTCTGTTGAGCTTCAGTCCTTTACCAGTTGACTTCTTCACAACTTCAAAACCCTGAGAAAGGAGGACAATGAGTTATGTCTCCTCACCCCTCCGGTCATGTGACCTCCCAGAATCCCCCTCACCCCTCTGGTCAGGGTCTTATTAATGGAGATAAGAGTGAGGTCATGTGACCTCCCAGAATGCTCCTCACCTCTCCGGTCAGCAGGTAGATGATCTCCAGGGTGAGGTTCAGTATCCTCTCGGTCATGTGACTCCGGTCCTCCTCCTCCTCCATCCTCACCCGCTCAGTCATGTGATCTCTGGAGGCTTCCTTGTAGACGGATGACTTTGGAAAACAGAAGAATGATTCGGGTGGTGTTGGTTACACATTAATAATACAACATGGATGGGGGAGGGGTGATAGGAGGGTCGCTGTACATATAGAAACGGTTGCCCTCATGAGAACACATTTTGGTGGCCCCCGGACTCTCTTGACCTGTCCCATCGGGCATTACCTTTCCTCCGTTGGGTTGAGATCTGCAGACAAGGAATGATAAATAGGATCCTTGGTTCTGAGGCGGTGGTGTGAGGACAACGTAGGGTCAGTATGAAGATCAGGCGGGGGAACATGTGGGACTTGAGCCAGAGCTGCTGGATAATTAGCAGAACTTGGATTGGACAGAAGGAAGAAGCTGCTGGTGGTGTAGAGAGCTGTGGAGTGGGGGGTGGGGTGATCCGTTCTCTTCCCTCCATTGGGCAGTGGGGAGCGTGGACTTTGCTCCGTTGGTTGGCAAGCGCCTCGTAGTATCACGTACATGGTGCACAGCGGCAATGGGTTCCTGGTTCTCGGGATTCCGGCACCGGCAATGCCAGATCCTGTGTCATGACGCACAATTTGTAACCGTTCCATTTGGCCCGCCTTCCATGTCCTGAGTATTCACCGAGGATCCAGCCCCAGTGGCAGCTTTACTGGACTGGGTTGGACTTGATGGACATGCGTCTTTATTCAACCTCAAATACTATGTAACATTCCCGATTCTGGGATATCTAGACCTCCTGCCGCTGAGTCAACGGTCGCCGGAGGTTCTGGTCACCGACGTCCGACACGGTGCTCAGACTCCGAGGAGGTTCGGGATCCCGAACCTTCAGAACTGATGGCTTGGAGAACCTGCTGAGCTCAGTCCAGAGCGTTCCACAAGAGAAACTCCAGACCCTCGGCTCCCAGATTCCGACTTTGCAGTCCAGAAGCTCCACTTCCCCCACGAGCGGGCCCCAGGCTTGATGGCAGCCTCAATCGCCCCACTTCAGACGGCTACACTAGAGCATCACGCCGGTGTGGGACCAACACCAAGACCACCCAACGCTCCCCACACCCAAGACGAGATGGTCTCGGGATCGCAGTCAGGGAAACCCTCCCGTTGTCCTGGAAGATTCCCGTAGTGGATTCCAGGAGAAGTTCTAGACGTTGGGGATTGGGTTTCTGGAAGGAGCTCGTCTCCTCGTCAACATTCCACAGCTTCAGAGCCGATGGTTTCCCCCGAAAACCGTAAAGGTCGCCACGCCCCAATTCCAGAGTCAGCCAATCATCGGGGAGGAATCAAAGAGTCTTCCCAGCAGATTGTGTCACGGCCACAACTTCACGTACCAGCCGTGTCCACCTTCCAGACGTGGACCATTGTCCTCAGCAGGGGCAATACCAGTTGATGGGGGCCGCCCTGATGCTCCGCCCACATACAAGCCCCACCCACATATACATTCTTGTGTTATAGAAATGAGCGTGGACTGGGGGGGAGAATCTGAAGATCTAGACCAAGAGAAACGAGCTGGAAAGTGAGCCAAATGGAAGAATTTTTTCTGGTTCGGCTATTTGGACCCAAATTCTTCAGTTCTGAACCGCAGGAGGACCGACGGGAAGACTGGATCATCTAGGACTGGGGGGGGGGGGGGGG